GCTATTTAGGGTGCCCTTCTAATATAGGGGGGCCTTCTATTTTGGGGGGGGTTTACTATGTATCTGTACAATGTATGTGTATGTAATGTGTAGTAGACAATGGTATTCTACATCGATTAGGCTATTTTAGAGATTTTTGCCATGTGACATGACTAAACAGGAGATCAAAAATACTTTAATGCATTTTCACAATGATCGATAAATAACAAGATTTTGAACTTTTCTTCAAGATTTATTCAAACAGAACAGATATTGAAGATATCGTCATTCGATAGATAATGAAATTCTACATTGAATAGACTATTTTAAAGATTTTTGCCATACCTGTTGAAAGATGCAGTCGCTACCGACAAACTTGATGCCCCTATTTTAGTGCAACGGGAAGTACTTTCTCGATGTAACCAGTATCTTCGACTGTTCCTTCAGCCAGGATTACCAAGGGCGCTATACCTTTGGAACAGGGAACCAACCAAACCATCACTTCTGTGGGAACTTTCTTTTTTGCTGAACGCTACTTTTTTCATGGGCATTAGCACGACGGACTGCCCTTATTCGATTATTCTGGGAGTTACAGGGTGAGCCAAAAGTCTTGGTACTGGATAGAAAAATTTGTTTTCTCCGGAGTGTTTAGCCTATCTAGGAGAAGTATCAGTCTAATTTTTCGGCTCTATAGGTCACGTTGCAATAAAGATACGTAGTTTTCAATCTAAACGAGATTTGATTTCGTATGACTCGATCATCTGTTGGTAGATGAAATCTCCTCAATAATTAACCTTTGTCATAGAAACTAGAGTAGTATTGAGTCGATCCACTTCAGGCACACGTCTAATGTGATAATCTGCAAGATTGTGACGAGGTGTTTTTCAACATCGCTAGATCTTTTAATTCTCTCCCTTCTAACTGCTCTCTAATACAACTCCAGACGTTCTTCAATGGGTCACCCATTTTTTTTTTTTAATTTTTGTCAGAAATTTTGAAACGGAGATAAATGCATGAGGAGATAGCCCGTCATCAGCTCTCTCAGAAACACTATTGGTTTCTTCTTCAGCACCCTATTTTGATGGAAATTTTTGATGATTTCCATTAACTGCTACTATCCATGATGAAAAATGTTTTTTTTAAAAAAAATGATTTTCTGCAAAAGATAGATTTTATTGAGAAAAGTATTTTTTTTATCCAGAAATCATTGTGCAAATGTACGAGATAATCGAATAGCCTAGAGTTTATGCTATCCCGACCCATCGGCTATTGATGAGCCGATTATTCGAATAAGCATCTTGAAGTATTTTCATAACTCAAACAATGGTTCCCAGAGTTGAAGTAATAATGGTTGAAAAAATCAAGTTACAGATACTGTTCGAAACTTCAAATAGTCTATGTAAATAAGCATCTCTGACATAGATAATCGCAAACAGATACGAAGAAAAAACAGAACTTTATTAAAATAATGCGAAGTTATTTTCGATCACGAACACATATAGCAAAAATCACCGAAATACGATAGTATAAAAAAGAAAAAAGTTATCATCTCGACAGTTCAATTGTCTTCATCAGAATCTTTCCATTTTCGACTTTTTGGATTATAATAAAGGTGTTCTACATCTTGATCTAGATCATCATCATTCTCTTCATCACCGGTGTCATCGCTGTCTTCATCAGATGTTTCATCATCAGATTGACCAGCGTTGTCTTCATCAGATGTTTCACCAAGATTGTCGGCATCAGACGCAGTGGTATTGTCTTCTTCACTTGTATCTATGTTCGTTGCACTTAAATTTACCAACTTCCTTTGTTTGCGCATATGTTCTTTCTTTGCACTGTGTAAACGCTCATTGTCGAATGATATCATGATGTTTTCTGTATAAAAGCCAGTGTAACCACATAGCTTTGAGAAAATTTGCACTAAAAATAATAAAACTAGTATTATATGAATTGAAAACATGTATCGATTTTCAAATTTTTCACTATTTTTTTACCAAACTATAATATCCATCGTTGAATATCAATACAGCCAAGTAACATGCGATATTACATGTTACTGACGATGATGTTTTATGCTTCGGTGACATGTTCCATGTTAGCGAATGGAAAGCTTCGCTGGCATTTTGTGTCGAACCATTCAATACTCGCATCAAACTTTGCTTGCTGCACATTGAATCAAATGCAGGTTTGATTTGATTCATAACTGCACGTGGTAATGCGTGTGGTGTATGATCATAGCGAGTGTTGTTTTTTCTCGTTTGTAAATATCCGCACCATCCTTCATCACAAAATTCATGGCGAGGATCATTATTTGTCGAGAACTTATGCCAATAGATTGCCTGAAAAGAACAGAAATAGGTAGTTATTTACATATAACGGATCTAGAATGTCAAACCTGTGCGCTTTTGTAAAGTTTATCAAGATCATTTTCGAATTGCAGCACAAAAATAAATTTGCAAACGAATTATCATTTGATCTATAAATTGATAAGTCAAGCGTTTAATTCACACTTTTTATTACAATAGTTCCTTATTGATATTACCTGTAAGACGTCCTTTTCCACCTATTGTTTTTCCATCTGATAACTTCGTTCTACCACACTGTCGTTTGATCACTTGAAGAACACATTTTAGACGTTTTCCAAAATGATTGATATCTTCAAGCTTTTCTATTTCTATTCCTAAATATATAAAGTCTTTCACATATTTATATTAGCAAAGCTTAGAAAACTTATTCGCACTTTTATAAGGTTTTTGTTTCTTCAGCACAGAAAAAGTTTTTGAATCTCCATCTCCTACGTATTTGACATAACGAACACCGTATTTCTTTTGAGATCTTTGAAACATTTTTAAGGTGCACGATGCTTCCATATTGCCTGAAGGTTGATCAAAATTTTTTCCACATTGATGAGTAGTAATTATTTGATCATATTTTGCTTGGGCTTCTGCTGTTTCTGATTGTAGCAAACTTTCGGCACCTAAAATATAAAAATAGTTGATTATGGTTCCAAATTTTTGGTAAAGATTAAAATAAGCGAAGAGAGTTACCTATACAAATATTACATGTTTTTGAACATGTCTCAATGTCAACGACTTTTGGTGAACCAGAGACAGATACTAATGCAGCGGCGCCATGCTTGCTGGAAAATCCTCTGGTTTGCCACGTACCGTCGCCACTAACTGTAAGATCAGTAGTTCTGGCAGCACTAACAGCTTCTTGTATGGCTGTTGACATAGATTTGCTTGTGAATGATTGAACTACTGGCAATAATTCTTTATCACGTTTATTGTGACGACCTTCTTCAAGTGGTGGTGGTAGATTTAGCGCTGCAGAGATTTTTTCCAATTCAGCATGACGTATACCAGTTAAATGACCAGCAAGTTGAGCTCTCATATTAATATCATGACGTTTGGAACCTGGTATTTGAGGACTAGAATCTCAAAATAATCAACAATAGATGTGAAAATAACTAGATCCTTGAGGAATAATAGCATACTAATACTCACTTAGGCAAATCTTATTATTGCAATAATCACATTCAAAACTGAGAATAACAAATAGTCCTTCTCTTTTGTTCATGTGAAGTTTTCCATTCCATTGCTTGTCACATGTTTCACATTTCGTTTTGGATAATAATGACAACAACGATTGATTTTGGATGATAGAATAAGCATCTAACGGGGCATCACCAACAGATGACAAGTTGTTGTACGGTTTCTGCCTCTTGATAATTTTTTGACTTGAAACAGATAATGTACGTTTGCTGGTAGTTGCTGATGAAGATGGTGTTGTTGTTGCTGTTGATATTGATGATTTGGATCTTGCATGTAAATTTTTCACAAGCAACCGACGTCTATCAATAAAATTTGGTATTTTTATGGTCATAGGTATATAAGAAAAGAGACACTACCCGTAAGACAGTTTTGCACGTTGTTTGTTACTCATACCGGATTATTCTTGTTATCTATCGTGAAAATAGAAATATATCTAAAAAAATCAATACATATCATCATATCGGTGTTGAATAACAGATTGAATTGAATTTTCAAGGATGAAAACAGCAGGTCTCTATCTTGTTCCTATCAAAAGTTGATTAAAAAATACCTACGGTCACATCTCTGGAATGGACATTAACAATAATGTATGTTTTTCATTCTGAGTATGACAGAGACTCTCAGAACACGTCAGGAGAGATTTAGTCCTACAGGTTTTGTAGAGCTTTTCACGACGGGTCTTCTGGTAAAAAAAGAAAGGCTTCATCATTGTCGGTGCAAAGATATTCACAAAATACAACATATTTTCCGATATAATTTGCATTTCAAAACTTGTTTTGCGTTTTTCTCAAAAGGTGGGTTTTACGATGTATTTTCAAGATTGCTCAACCAAGGTACAACAGAAAGTCTAATATTTTTTTTTGTTTGAAAGAGCATCGAAAGCTGCAGACACTGTGAGGCTCCTTTTTTTAAATCTACCTTCAATTTTAGTACAAAAAAGGACAAATATACCACTTTTCCCGTATTTTCAAGCAGTTTTTTGAGACATTGACCTTTCTATGGATTTTTTTCGTATAAAAAGTGGCATTGAAAAAAAACGGGCTCTCACAGTGTCTGCAGCTTTTGACGCTCTTTCAAACAAAAAAAAAATCTATAAGTTCAATGAAGTTCCACAGAGAAATCTTGAAAATAAAAAGTGCTATTTTTGACCCTTTTTTGGCCATTATCTCGCTGATGCGTCGTAGGATCGGGCTGAAAATTTTATCATAGCCCCAACATATCCTGAAAATTTCATGGGATTCTTACGAGCCGGGGCTGAGATCGATTTTTGAGGGGGGGGAGATTGAAAACTACGTATCTTTGTTGGAACGTGAGCCATAGAGCCGAAAAATTAGGCTAACACTCCTTCTAGATAGGTTAACTATCGGGTCAATTTTAAGCCTTTTTTGTTGGTTGTGATGAGGGAGAAAACAAAATTTTTCTATCCAGTATCAAGACGTTTGGCTCGCCATTTATCTATAAAACAAGATGCAAAATAGAGCCATCGCGCGAACGGGTTTTTCTCCAATACAGTTCAATGCTTGAACGACAATATCACAGTGGGCAATCACATGGAAATTAGGTGAAAAAACGAAAGCTACTTTTTTAATGATTTAAATAGCGTTTTATATACATTAGCCAATGTCCAATTTAATGGTGAAAAATATTTGATCCAAATGCTTTAAGTGGCCGAGATGGGTAAGTCCCAACTTTTTGCAATTTTTGCTACAACTCGACGAAAATCGTTTTCTCCTGTCAAATAGGCAGTCACTTAAAAATTGTAACATATATATTCTGAAAGCTGCGCACTTGGGCTATTGATTCATAAAAAATTTTTATCCGAACGGGTTTGCGAAAGGGAAAGAACTTGATTTTTATCTGCACGAGATGTCCTTCGGAAACACGCGCCATCCACTTTTTCCATCCACATCCAAGCTCTGTTTTCAATGAAACTTTCAGCAATTGTTCCTCTGTATGTGGCACGTCTAGATGGAATGGTCAAACATTTCTGGGCGAAGTTGTAGATTTTATAAAAACTCTGGATTTTTATCGTTTTCTCACGTTTTTCTTAGTAGAAAAGCATCCTAGCTAAAAAGTAAGGACATATTCGGAATCGGCGTCAAAAACTACATCTAATGATGTGTCCTTTTACCGCTTTCAAGGCATGTATGCTGAATTTTTCTGAAAATAGATTTTCCAAGATTTTTATCTAAACTTAAAGCTGCTGTTTTTTCGCACGGCATCTGGAGCGTTCGAAAATTGTGAAAACCAGTTTTCTATAGGTTTCGGCCATAACGAATCTAATGGTGTTGTTGAAAAACTTTCAAAGTGATTTTTTGAAGGTTTCCAAGAGACTGGATCTCTGGAAAACCACCACAGAACCAGATTTTAGCTGGGATACGGATGTCATAAGAAAGAGCGCACACGAAAACCTATTAAAAACAAATTTTTCGGTTCAACGAATCGCTCTAAAACAAATTTCCACGTGCCTATTGAAAATTGCCTACTGGGAATATGAACACGAGAAGTGCACAAAAAGTCGTAGAGATCATTTGATCCAGTTATTCTTATCGATGCGTAACATCAAACCACCTTGATCGTACAGTGTATGGTATTTTCCTCGGATATTGACGATCACTGTGAAAGATTGATCGCCAGCCAATAATCGATAGTAGAAATGATCAATATCACGTTCGAAATCATAGTGTGTCTTGCTCCAGAAATCAGTATCAGGATCGGTGTGAACATAAACTGTAGTTTCATTAGAAGATCATACCGTCGGTTGATTAAACCAAGTGAAATTCGTCCAAGACAAGTAGCAGAGACAGTAACAAGTTTCTTCATTTTTGTCTTTCAAAAATGATTTAGTTCTCTTCTGCGCTGCTTTTATATCTGATAAATGCTACGGTTACGACTGTAAATCTCACAAGCATCCTTCAGGCTTCCTGCGCAATAAATTGTTGATATCTTTTCTTACTGAATACTGCAAAAGCAAATACTTCAACTCTTTCTGCAAGACAAGGTTAAGTGGTGAGGGTGCGGGGATGAAGAATAGCCTCTAGCTTCAAGACGGATATTTTCTGATCTCCCAGAGTTTCATTAATGAAGATCTGATTCCACATGTTTAAAGCTAAAAAAAGAGATTTTGGCTTGTTCCAGTCTCAAGGAAACAAAGCCAAAGGTGATACGATCAAGTAGATAGCCGAGAAAAGTTCAGTCCTTGCCCAAGGTAGGCTGTGATTAGTATGCTGGAAAACTGAAACCATAATGATCATCGGTATGATATACGGATGGTTGCCGCTTCTCTTCTCACACTTGAGAGAATCCTTTTATTGATCAAAATTGATTAGTGCACGAAACCGATGTCTCAAATCTGAGCCATGCCTCCATCGACAAACAGCTCAGTACCCGTGATATAACTACTATCACTTGAAGCCAGAAAGACGGCTACTTTGGCAATTTCATCAGACGTACCAAATCGATTCATGGGTATAGCAGAAAGGAAATCGGCGTTCATTGTTTTTTTCATCCGTCACTAAATCCGGCTTTGTCCCATCCAGTTGTTGGAATTGCCCCTGGACTGAGGATATTGACTCGAGTCTTGCGTTCCTTCAGATCGACCGTCCAGCAACGGGCAAACGAGCGAACAGCCGCCTTGCTTGCACTCAGAAGACTCGTGATAGGATAAGCTTTAATGGAGCTAACAGATCCATTTAAGATGATGATCCACCTTCGCTTATCAATGCTAAGACTTTCTGGACAGTGAACAATACGCCTTTTACGTTGATGTTGAATAGTTCATTAAATTGCTTCTCGGTGATTGAATCCAGCGGCACAAACGTGCCGATACCTGCATTGGCGAAGACGATATCTAAGCCACCCTTTTTCTTCTCGATGATGTTGTGCATCGTGTGGAGATCAGCCACCTTGGACGCATCAGCTCGTATTGCCGTCACTTTCTTCCTATCCATTATCTTCACGGCTTCGTCAAGCAGTTCCTGACGGCGTCCGGTGATGAAGACATGTTCTGCACCTTCAGCAATGAATCGTTGCGCAGTGACCAAACCCATGCCTTCGAAGCCACCTGTGATGAGAGCAATTTTTCCATCGAGCTTACCCATTTTCTTCGTGTTGTCACAGTAGTCGGAGTTACTATGCAGCGAGTGGTCTTCGACGTGTTTTGTTCGCCATCGAATGTAGCCGAACTATTATCAAAATGTTCTGACGAAACGCAGCAAGGCCCTGTCCAACCAGAGGACCAACCCACTAAAAAGTCTCAAAAACGAGCTGAAGTTATAATCGCGTTTTGTTCCTTCTGAGAGCAGGAGACAAAGTTCTTGTCCTTTTCTCTTGGCCTCTGTCCTTCCCTGAGATAAAGATTTTTCCTATCTCCATCAATGTGCATGAGTGAGAGATAAAAGGTTTATCGATATAGTCGCACCGGCACCAGAGAGTATATCTGGAGTGCCTCAGAGTCCATTAACAAAATATGCACAAAAATCATGAAGCGCTCTCAAGAAGTGTTCAATTGTTTACCAGCTTGGTGCAAGGACTATCAGCTTCTTGTGCCGTAGGTGGGAAGCTCGATAGCATCTGCTGGTCGTGATGAAAAGTATTTACCGAACAAGCGTGCTAATCCAGGCTTTGGAAAGAAGCTCAGCACATTGACGAGCATCGAACTGACTAGGGAAGTACCCGAAGTGTCCCGTCGATTTAGGGCCCATACTATGCCCACAAGTAGGCCTCAGTGGGACTAGCAAAACCCTAAAAGGATTCGTGCCCATGGTTCTGTGGTCAAAAGTTATGGCCGTATCATTATTCACACAGAAATGTGTAAGGAGAGGCTGATATTTCATTCTTTGAATAGAGTTGTTTTGCTTGCATTGATATACACAATAATGAGTGTAATCGTGAGTGCATAGAACCGTCGGCTTCGCTCATTTTGATCTGTTTCATGGGGCCACTTCTTCAAATTTGAACATTTTTCTTTCATTTAAGTGTCTTAATTTGCCACTTTTCATAATTCTTCTGATTTGAATAACGGCATTTTTTCTTCTATTATAATACCAATAATTGTCACATGGCAAAAATCATTGTATTAATAGCATTTGTCTTCATAGCTCTTTGTACATTTTTCTAACAATAAACTCTTAGACTGTTCGAAATCTTAAAGACGAAGATGAAAAGTAAGTATTAAAAATACACTATATACAATTTTAATCTTTACCTTTTATTATTTTTTAAAATTCAGCTTTTCTTAAATAAACTGTAGTTTGAGAAGATGGCAACGCCTGATCTGATATTTCAAACTCTTGTCTCGGGCGGGACAGTAAGGACTCGTGTGGCGACTCTAGACAGTGACATCGCGACAACCACGGTTTACTACGACTTACATCGTGGCAGTAAGCATGATAGCCACTATAGAAAAAATTCGATTTTATGAAATGAGCTATCCTTTTTAACTTTTCTCACGTAAAACTTTGTGCAAAAAAATTAAAAATCACTTTTGCATTTATTTAAAAATTCTTCCACTAAACTGAAAAAAGTGCTCCGAAGGTGCGCGAAAGATTAAGAGGTCGCTCAATTCGCATTTTGTAGAGAATATTTTAGGCTATCATACCTATATGAAAAACACAGGGATCATTCTGGTGGAATTTGGAACCACGACCTAGTCTTTCAAAGACCAATAAGGTATACCACCCGCACGTGGTATTTTCTGAGATATTTTTATATCAACTTGTAGTTAATTATCTTCTCTATGCAATGCTGAAAACCAAACTGGTATAATTTGAAGACAGGTTTGTGGGTGGCTACGCTCCTCCCCTTAAGCATGCTATAAAACATTTTTTAATAAAACAATTAGGAGCAAGAGCCCTCTCGGCTGTTTTTCAGAGTGATATACAATCACTTCTAACCAAAAGAAACCCGCTTCCGAGTAAGAAAGTTGCATGTCCGCTGTGCGAAAAATTCACATGGATTGGTCAAATAAAGTGTCACACGTGCAGATAGAAGCTCCACTTTGATTTAGCCACTTCCCAAAGTTTCGCTTTGCTCGCCACCGACAGATTGCAGTTCTGCATCCACAATTGCTTCAGTGATCGGTTGCGTTTTAGCATGTCGACAACAGAATCAACACACGAATCCGTCACCAACTTGTTCGAATTGAGATACAGATGAGTGAGACATGTATCGTAATGAGCGAGTGCATTGACCAACAGTTCAACTCCTAGATCGCCTATACGATTGTCCCCTAGCCCTAGAGCAATCAATGTTCTATTTGTCTTAAGCATTTCAGCCAGATGATGTGCACCTTCATCTGTGATGTCGTTCTCGCCAAGGTCAAGTTCCTTGAGATTTTTATTGTCCTTCAAGAGTGCCTGCGCCAGAGAACGAACACCCATGTCAGACACACGATTCTTGAAAAGAATCAGTTCCTGTATTAACGGATTGGTGTCTAATGCATTCGCTAGGATCGAGGCACCTTGCGATGTGATCTTATTGCCCCACAAGCCGAGCAAGATGCACTGTTTCTTGAAGATTGCCTGGTCGACAACCATCTCCATGTCTTGATCGGTCAATTGCTGATAGATCAGTGATACCATCGAGTAAGGTTGACATTTGTCGATGCATTTTTTCAGTTTCAAATTGCAATAAGTTGAATCAGTTTCCATTGGAGAACGCGTGACCTCAAATGATGTTCTCGTTGATGGTTCGTTCACAGTTTGATTAACAAACGTTGAGACAGATGTACCACTCACGAACACAGAGAGAGAGAGGCAAACCAGCAAGAAGCCGTCCTTCGTCTTCTGTTTGATAGAACAAATACCTTTGCTTGAATTCCGTTTAATGTTGAAGAGAGTCCATGTGGCTGTTCTAGTAAAACATTTGCAACTTTTTTACCTTGGAATCACAAATTTGAAAATATAGAATATCGGGAAAACTAATCCGGAGTATGATGGTTGGGTTATTGACTTCACTTTTTCGACGTCAGTCGCGTTTCTAGTAGTGAGAACAGAGTACGTGCGTGAATGTCGACTGCTCTGCTTCTTTTTCATTCTTTATTAAATCTGTATTTACTTTGTTTCCCATGGAGACATACTCAGACAAACAAGCATAGAAGAAAGTTTGTACACCGTTCGAATACGTGCCTCTACACGTAAACATGCTGTTTTTTCATCATTCAATTTTCATGTTGCTAAATGACCGAGATTTCAGCCGAAAAACTTCGAAAAAAATCAAAACAGTCGGATAGCGTAGAATAATAAAAAATGTTGTGAGGAACATAAAGCGCCGGAAATGCAAAAACTTAGCAAAATTTATTTTCATTGTTTTTGACATCATTGGATAGAGTTCATCAAACTGGTTAAGAAAATATCATTTTAAACTTTTTCTACATAATTTTGTCGTTTTAAAAAAATCAAATTACTACTATCCATTTCATAGGACAATGCAGTTGGTTGCAACTTGAAGAGATGTAATATATCGAATAGATATAAAGTTTTAGGCAGTTCGTTATACAGCGCAGATAATGTGAATACAGATGTGCTTTTTGTATCGATACAAATAACAATCTTTTTCCAACAGTTTTTGTTTGTTACTCGAAAGTAATACGTGGGTAGTTCCACTCAACTCCGCCTAGTATTACATTACCTGAAAGCCGGCCAGAAATGACTCTTGTCATCGTCCAGGGCATAAACAATGACTTATAAATCCATACATTTCAGCTCTTCAAATGGTTCCGAAAATAGGTCGGAAAAGACTATTTTATCCATTTTCAAGGATCTCTGGGTACTTAAGTACCAATTTCATCACTGCATCTGAAATTTTCTAACAGTGATGATCGAAAAGAGCACAAAAGGTTGCATATGTTCCAATCAAAGTTCCGTTTCTCTTCACCATTCAAAGCTTTTCCATTAAAAATTTAACCATCACTATCCAAAATTACGTTCTTTTACTTCTAGAAAAATTCATCCAAAGATTAAGAGAAACAGCCGTATTTTTAAAATAAACCGAAAGCGCCACTGAAGGTTGTCTAAATGCTACAAGAACAAGATCGAACATACTTACCGTTTAGCTCCAATACCCCCCTCCCCCATCCGAGACTTACGTTTGAACTTTATGAGCCGATCCCATGGGATCAGCTCTAAGATAATAATATCTCGAACAGTTCACATGTAATTATCGTGCACGATAACTACATGTGAACTGTTCGAGATATTATTATCTTAGATACTATTCGAGTAGCTCTAGAAAAGCAGCCCAGTTTCCAACCCACCAACACCTCTACTTCGACACTTCGTGCCGAAGGTGAGGTATATGTTTGGAAAAATATGGATTGAATAAACGAATGTTGGATGAGCTCTGTATCTAAGGGAAAATTTTTTCCATGGAATTTTACTTTATACTCGTGCATTTTGAATGCCCACGAAATAGGAATGTGCCGTGTTATGAAGTGGCCTGTGAGATGGAAAGTTCCGCTGGACACTAACTACCGTAAGTAATTTTTTATTGAATAGTATTTCATTGCGACTTGTTTCCGAACAAAGCATTTGGGGTCAGTGCTCTCTGAAAATTTCAGCGGACTCTCCCCTATATCGAGCGTCCAGAATAAATGTATAAAGCTCTACATCTGTTTTTCTTAACTTTAGCAAAGCTATCAAAACATGTAACTATAGGGCGCATCCTTCCAGTAAGGGTCCTGTGAATGGCAGATGAGGGTTACTAGTATAGCAGTTAAAGGCACACACTTTTAGGAATATGTATCATTTTTCTTTTCTTTCTGTAGAAATTGCACAGATAGTTATTGGTTCAAATTTCAGCTAAAAGAAATTCGACGAAAAAATCTCTGAATATTTATTCCAAAATTTCCTTAGTGATTATTTCTTAGTTTATTATGATTAGAATCAGCTGAAGTAAGAAAATTAACGGTAAAAGAAACGATCTGGTCACAGTAGAAGTGAAAAAATAGAATAAAAATCGCGCGTAAATCATAAAAATACGATCGGTATCTTGCGAGCTTCGATGTTCAAGATGATGGTAAAAATGACGTTTGTAGAAAAATCAGCTACAGCCATCTTGTAGAGCTCGATTAGCTCTATCTATTCTGATTAAAACGTTAAAA